TTTCACAGTGTTCGGTTAAAAATTTATTATTCACAATAAAGAAAGCCCCTGAAAATGGCCCTCAACATATAACACATATAGGGGGAAAATCCGTATCTTGGTAACACTGTATTAGACTCAACATTTCAAAAGTAAATTCCACTGAGTGACATAGACTTCAATATAGATACGTGAATCTATATCTATAGTACAACTTTAAATTTTTATTGTACAATTTTCTGGTTTAAACTTCCGAAATTTCTCATACCCTGCTTCAGTATATTGAACAAATTTTTTAGAATATAATTCTTTTTATTAGTTTTTTAAATAATATATATATTATGTTTTGATAAATAAGATAAATAAGAAATCCCCAAAAAAATACCCTAAACAAATTCTCCTCCAAAAGTTTCCCAATACTTAAAAAAAAAACTTAGATTTAAGGGAAAATCCCCATAGTTGGCTTCACTGGTATAAATATTCAAATAACCAATCATTAGATTTTTACTAATGGACACGCAAAAATTACCAATTTTTACGGGAAGCCTAAAAATTTCTACAGCTAAAGCTACACTTGGTACGGGTTGCTTACTCATATTCTCTACTAAAGTCACACATGATGCGGGTTGCATATTAATGTTCTACTACTAAAACATCCAAATGCCTTAAATCTGCTACAATGTGTTGGCGTGTTATATTTTAATATTTATAACTTTAAGAATGTTTTTATTACATATCCAAATATTTTTCGAAATTTAAAATTCCTTAAGATTAAATTTACATTTAATAAGTATATAAATATTATTTACTTATTAGTACATTGTTTGTATTATTAATATGTTGTTCATGAATTGATCTATGGTATACTTATAATGGTTTAAGATGATTATTTCGTCTCATATTGTTAATGTTATTACTATCCATGAAGTGTACCTGCTTTTATATTCAATATATATGTATATATTTTCTATTTATATTTGTTATGAAAGTAGATTGTAATATTATGTTATACGATTCATCCGCCTACTGTGTAACGCCTCCAGTAACACGCCTATATTGCATCCTTAGAGGTGGTGAGGAAAAACAATAAATATGCAGTAAATTTACGTTTCGGAAATATATTTGATAATTTTCATTAATGTGTTACATTACAGATACATGTTCACATACAAGTTGTTAAACCATGGATAAAATGATTGAAAATTCATTACTAAACAGATGACAAGAAAAAAACGAACTACCATTAAGAATCCTTCATAAATGAATTGCGACATCAGTGGATTAGTTGTAGGATCAGATTTTTTAGTGACTTTTACGTGTGTTTCTAATCTTTATTTAAAGAGATTTTAAGAAAGATCGGGTATTTTGTCGAAGAGTATTGTTTTGCTTAGCAGTACCAATTGTCAACGTATATACAAGTACATATTTTGGTTAGAATTTCCAGCAAATGTTATGTAATCTTCGACTTTCGAACAAATAATCAATAGACATTTGTTTATTGAGTATATAGAAAATAAGTAATGTTCATGTGTGGGTTATTTAAAACTTGTAAGTGTTTTGATATATCATAATATTTTATAAAGTTAATTTTGAAAATCATTTGTGATTAAAATAAAGATGTACATATATTTAGACCGCATATAGGATATCTAGTTTGTTAAAACTAATATAAATTATGTATATTGTTATGTTAAAATGGAAACCGAAAAATACCAAAGAAATGCAAATCTCCAAACTCATTTCTTTCCTTAGTGGCACCACTGTCAAATGTTATAAAAAATGTGGACTTTGAATTGCGACATCAGTGGATTATTTGTGAAATCAGATATTTTGGTGACTTTTACGTGTGTTTCTAATTTTTATGTAAAGAGATTTTATATAGTTTTGATTTAATTTAATAATACACTACATGTATATGTTCCAATCTCAAACAACTACAAGATTAATATATTTGTATTAGCAGTGGCTCCAAATCTCAAACATTTTTCTCCCTAAACATCCAACAAAAACCCCTAAATTCCCTTAAAAAAATTATTATTAAGATAAATAATAAACTATTATTTATTTAATTATACTATTGTAACATTCTTTAACTGAAATAATCAATTATTATTGAATTACCATATATAATTGTATTTGCTCTGCTAAACCACAAAACAAATTCGTATATATTTTTCAACCCATTTCACAGTGTTCGGTTAAAAATTTATTATTCACAATAAAGAAAGCCACTGAAAAGGAACATAAACTTATAATACCACAAAAAAAAACCCATTCGATTCTTTAAACGCTTAAATTTAGGGGGAAATCCGTATCTTGGTAACACTGTACTAGACTCAACATTTCAAAAGATACGTGAATCTATGTCTATAGTACAACTTTAAATTTTTATTGTACACTTTTCTGGTTTAAACTTCTTAAACTTCTCATACCTTGCTTCAGTATATTCAACAAATTTTTAAGAATTTAATTATTTTCATTAGTTTTTTAAATAATAAAAATACCCTAAATAAATTCATACCCCAAAAGTTTCCAACTACTTGTAAAAAAACCCAAAATTAAGGGGAAAATCTCCAGAGTTGGCATCACTGATATAAAAATAAACGTAACCAATCCCAAGATTTTCGCTAATGCACACGCAAAAATGTCCCATTTTGTACGGGTTGCCTCAAAATTTGTACTGCTAAAGTCACACTTGGTACGGGTTGCTTCCTCATATTCTCTACTATATTCACAATGGATACGAGTACCATATTAATGTTCTACTACTAAAAGCCCAAATGCCTTAAATCTGTTACAATGTTTTTATTACATATCCAAATATTTTTGGATTATTAAAATTCCTTAAGATTAAGTTTACATTTAATAAGTATATGGTTGTGAGTGATTTAGAATCTTTTGTAAATATTATTTACTAATTAGTACATGCTTTGGATTATTAATATGTTGTTCATGAATTGTTTTATGGTATATTATTGTTTAAGATGCTTATTTCGACTTATATTCGTAATGTTATTACTATCCATGAAGTATACCTGAATATATATATATATATATATGTATTGTTTCTATATATATTTGCTATGAAAAGTAGATTGTAGTATTATGTTATACGGATGAATATAGACCTCCTGCGGAACTGGAAACCAAAACAAATCGGTAACACGCCTATATTGCATCCTCAGAGGTGGTGAGGAGAAACAATAAATACGCAGTAAACTTTTGTTTCGGAAATACAATATTTTTGATAGTTTTCATGAATGTGTTGCATTACAGATACATGTTCACAAACAAGCTGTTAAACCATGGAGAAAGCTCACGAGCTTGTGGTTTTCTTGGCAGCATTGAAAATTCATTACTGAACAGATGACACGCAAACAACGAATTACCATTAAGAATCCCGCAGAAATGAATTGCGAAATCAGTGGGTTATTTGTAGGATCAGATTTTTTAGTGACTTTTACGTGTTTTTCTAATCTTTATTTAAAGAGATTTTAAGAAAGAGCGGGTATTTTGTCGCAGAGTATTGTTTTGCTTAGCAGTACCAATTGTCAACGTATATACAAGTACATATTTTGGTTAGAATTCCCAGCAAATGTTATGTAATCTTCGACTTTCGAACAAATAATCAAAAGACATTTGTTTATTAAGTATATAAAAAATAAGTAATGTTCATGTGTGGGTTATTTAAAACTTGTAAGTGTTTTGATATATCATAATATTTTATAAAGTTAATTTTGAAAATCATTTGTGATTAAAATAAACATGTACATATATTTAGACCGCATATAGGATATCTAGTTTGTTAAAACTAATATAAATTATGTATATTGTTACGTTAAAATGGAAACCGAAAAATACCAAAGAAATGCAAATCTCCAAACTTATTTCTTTCCTTAGTGGCACCACTGTCAAATGTTATAAAAATGTTGACTTTGACAGCGCTCTCTCGAACCAAAGAGTTTCTGATCATTTTATCCAAGACAAATACCGCGTAATTGAATACATCTTAAATTATTAATATGTTTCTTTATTTACTTTAGATAATACATTGTATAAATCAGTGCTCCATCAAACTAATACAAGATTATCTTGTATTAACATTGTATAAATCAGTGTTCCCAAATCTCAAACATTTTATCCCTAAACCTCAACAAAAACCCACTTAATTCCCTAAAAACAATTATTATTAAGATAAATAAAAATTATATATTTAATTATACTAACATTCTTTAACTGAAATAATCAATTATTATTGAATTACCATATATAATTGGACTTGTCCTCAAAGCCCAAGCAAATTCTTATATCTTTTTAACACATTTCACATTTTCAATTAAAACTTTATTATTCACATATAGAAAGCCCTGAAAATGGCCCTCAACATATAAACAATATAGGGGAAAATCCGTATCTTGGTAACACTGTATAGACTCAACATTGCAAAAGTAAATTCTACTGAGTGACGTAGACTTCAATATAGATACGTGAATCTATATCTATAGTACAACTTTAAATTTTATTGTACATTTTCTGGTTTAAACTTCGAAATTTCTCATACCCTGCTTCAGTATATTGAACAAATTTTTAGAATATAATTCTTTTATTAGTTTTTAAATAATATATATATTATGTTTTGATAAATAAGATAAATAAGAAATCCCAAAAATACCTAAACAAATCTCCCCAAAAGTTTCCCAATACTTAAAAACCTAAGATTTAAGGGAAAATCCCATAGGTTGGCTTCACTGGTATAAATATTCAAATAACCAATCATAAGATTTTACTAATGTACACGCAAAATTACCAATTTTACGGATGCCTAAAATTTCTACAGCTAAAGCTACACTTGGTACGGGTTGCTTACTCATATTCTCTACTAAAGTCACACATGATGCGGGTTGCATATTAATGTTCTACTACTGAAACGTCCAAATGCCTTAAATCTGCTACAATGTGTTGGCGTGTTATGTTTAATATTTATAACTTTAAGAATGTTTTTATTACATATCCAAATATTTTTCGAAATTTAAAATTCCTTAAGATTAAATTTATATGTAATAAGTATATAAATATTATTTACTAATTAGTACATTGCTTGTATTATTAATATGTTGTTCATGAATTGATTTATGGTATACATATAATGGTTTAAGATGATTATTTCGTCTCATATTGTTAATGTTATTACTATCCATGAAGTGTACCTGCTTTTATATTCAATATATATGTATATATTTTCTATTTATATTTGTTATGAAAGTAGATTGTAATATTATGTTATACGGATGAATATAGGCCTCCTGTGGAACTGGAAATTCAAAACAGATCAGTAACACGCCTATATTGCATCCTTAGAGGTGGTGAGGAAAAAATTAATATGCAGTAAATTTACGTTTCGGAAATATATTGATAATTTCATAATGTGTTACATTACAGATACATGTTCACATACAAGTTGTTAAACATGGATAAAATGATTGAAAATTCATTACTAAACAGATGACAAGCAAAAACGAACTACCATTAAGAATCCCATAAATGAATTGCGAATCAGTGGATTATTTGTGAAATCAGATATTTTGGTGACTTTTACGTGTGTTTCTAATTTTATTAAAGAGATTTTAAAGTTTGATTTTAAGAAAGAGCGGGTATTTTGTCGCAGAGTATTGTTTTGTTTAGCATTACCAATTGTCAACGTATATACATATTTTGGTTAGAATTGTCAGCAAATGTTATGTAATCTTCGACTTCGAACAAATAATCAAAAGATTGTTTATTGAGTATATAGAAAATAAGTAATGTTCATGTGTGGTTATTTAAAACTTGTAAGTGTTTTGATATATACATTTATTTTTAAGTTAATTTTGAAAATCATTTGTGATCAAAATAAACATGTGCATATATTAAGACCGCATATAGGATATCTAGTTTGTTAAAACTAATATAAATTATGTATATTATTCTGTTAAATGGAAACCGAAAAATATCCAAGAAATACATTAAAAATCTCAAAACTTATTTCTTTCCTTAGTGGCACCACTGTCAAATGTTATAAAAATGTGGACTTTTCCGCTCTCTCGAATTAAAGCTTTCGGATCATTTATCCTGACAAATACCGCGAAATTGTATACACCTTAAGATATTAATATGTTTCTTTATTTATTTAGATAATACATACATTGTATAAATGTCCAAATCTCAAACACTACAAGATAATATATTGTATTAAGCAGTGCTCCCAAATCTCAAACATTTTCTCCTAAACATCAACAAAACCCTAAATTCCTTAAAAATTATTATTAAGATAAATAATAAATTATTATTTATTTAATTATACTATTGTAACATTCTTAACTGAAATAATCAATTATTATTGAATTACCATATATAATTGGATTTGCTCTGCTAAACCACAAACAAATTCTTATATATTTTTCAACCCATTTCACAGTGTTCGGTTAAAAATTTATTATTCACAAAAAGAAAGCCACTGAAAATGAACATAAACTTATAATACCACAAAAACCCATTCGATTCTTTAAACGCTTAAATTTAGGGAAAATCCGTATCTTGGTAACACTGTACTAGACTCAACATTTCAAAAGTAAATTCCACTGAGTGACATAGACTTCAATATAGATACGTGAATCTATATCATAGTACAACTTTAAATTTTATTGTACACTTTTCTGGTTAAACTTCTAAACTTCTATACCTTGCTCAGTATATTTAACAATTTTTAAATGTAATTTAATTATTTACATTAATTATTTATATATATATAATTAAATTAATATATAAAATATATTAATATAAAATCCCTAATTAATCATACCAAAAGTTTCCACTACTTGTAAAAACCCAAAATTAAGGGAAATCCCAGAGTTGGCATCACTGATATAAAAATAAACGTAACAATCCAAGATTTTCGCTAATGCACACGCAAAAATGTCCTTTGTACGGGTTGCCTCAAAATTTGTACTGCTAAAGTCACACTTGGTACGGGTTGCTTACTCATATTCTCTACTATAGTCACAATGGATACGGGTACCATATTAATGTTTTACTACTAAAAGCCCAAATGCCTTAAATCTGCTACAATGTTTTTATTACATATCCAAATATTTTTCGATTATTAAAATTCCTTAAGAGTAAATTTACATTTAATAAGTATATGGCTGTGAGTGATTTAGAATCTTTTGTAAATATTATTTACTAATTAGTTCATGCTTTGGATTATTAATATGTTGTTCATGAATTGTTTTATGGTTATTGTTTAAGATGCTTATTTCGACTTATATTCGTAATGTTATTACTATCCATGAAGTATACCTGAATATATATATATATATATGTATTGTTTCTATATATATTTGCTATGAAAAGTAGATTGTAGTATTATGTTATACGGATGAATATAGACCTCCTGCGGAACTGGAACCAAACAGATCGTAACACGCCTATATTGCATCCTCAGAGGTGGTGAGGAGAAACAATAAATACGCAGTAAACTTTTGTTTCGGAAATATTTTTGATAGTTTTCATGAATGTGTTGCATTACAGATACATGTTCACAAACGCTGTTAAACATGGAGAAAGCTCACGAGCTTGTGGTTTTCTTGGCAGCATTGAAAATTCATTACTGAAAAGATGACAAGCAAACAACGAATTACCATTAAGAATTCCGCAGAAATGAATTGCGAAATCAGTGGGTTATTTGTAGGATCAGATTTTTTAGTGACTTTTACGTGTGTTTCTAATCTTTATTTAAAGAGATTTTAAGAAAGATCGGGTATTTTGTCGCAGAGTATTATTTTGCTTAGCAGTACCAATTGTCAACGTATATACAAGTACATATTTTGGTTAGAATTCCCAGCAAATGTTATGTAATCTTCGACTTTCGAACAAATAATCAAAATACATTTGTTTATTAAAGTATATAAAAAATAAGTATGTTTCATGTGTGGTTATTTAAAACTTGTAAGTTTGTACATTGTATAAATGTTCAAAATCTCAAAACAACTACGATAATTATTGTATTAAGCAGTGCTCCCAAATCTTCAAACATTTTTTCTCCTAAACACCCAACAAAAACCCTAAATTCCTTAAAATTATTATTAAGATAAATATAAATATTATTATTTAATTATACTATTGTAACATTCTTTAACTGAAATAATCAATTATTATTGAATTACCATATATAATTGATTTGCTCTGCTAAACCACAAACAAATTCTATATATTTTTTCAACCCATTTCACAGTGTTCGGTTAAAAATTTATTATTCACAATAAAGAAGCCACTGAAAAGAACATAAACTTATAATACCACAAAAAAACCCATTCGATTCTTAAACGCTTAAATTTAGGGAAATCCGTATCTTGGTAACACTGTACTAGACTCAACATTTCCAAAAGATACGTGAATCTATTCTATAGTACAACTTTAAATTTTTATTGTACACTTTTCTGGTTTAAACTTCTAAACTTCTCATACCTTGCTTCAGTATATTCAACAAATTTTTAAGAATTTAATTATTTTCATTAGTTTTTATAAATAATAAAAAATACCCTAAATAAATTCATACCCCAAAAGTTTCCAACTACTTGTAAAAACCAAAATTAAGGGAAAATCCCAGAGTTGGCATCACTGATATAAAAATAAACGTAACCAATCCAAGATTTTCGCTAATGCACACGCAAAAATGTCCATTTTGTACGGTTGCCTCAAAATTTGTACTGCTAAAGTCACACTTGGTACGGGTTGCTTCTCATAT